AATAAAAAAAAAAAAAAAAAAAAAAAAAACTCTTAGTTTTTTAAGAGTGGGTTCTATACTAGTCACTAATGAAATCTATCTATGTTGTCACCCTTTTCAGCTTCTAAGACATTTATAGTGATGTTAGATTATATGTCTGATATGATAGCATATATATAATTATTTTTCTTTTGTTTTCTTTTATCTCTTTGCACATGTTAAAATGATACTGAACCAAGTAAATATGCAGTCCAAAGTCAATGGGGGAATAATTTGCATTATTAAACTTAAAATTATATTAAATTCTTATTGTGCTGTCTGAGTGTTCTAAGTTTGAATGGAGGAGATAATCTTTGTTGTACTTTAAAGTAAATAATCCGTTTGTATGATACTTCAGGTTTTAAAGAAGGCTGATATGATTCGCAAGAATGCAGTTGAAAGTATTTTGGCTGAACGTAATATCCTTATCTCAGTTCGCAACCCTTTTGTGGTTAGTTGGTTCAATAATTTATTTCCCTCTAAGGAAGCATTGTATGTGTTAATTTCTCATTTTTGTAAATGTGGTTATGAACAGGTCCGCTTTTTCTACTCTTTCACATGTAGGGAAAATTTGTATCTGGTCATGGAATACCTAAATGGTGGCGATATTTATTCCTTACTGAGAAACCTAGGGTGCTTAGATGAAGATATGGCTCGAATTTATATCGCTGAAATTGTAAGAAAATGATATTGCCTTTTCTTTTCCATTTCCTTTTTCTATACTACTACTATTACTATGATTATTATCATCATCGAAAAACCGATTCGTTAATGCATGTCTTGATACTTTTCAGGTTCTTGCTTTGGAATATTTGCACTCCTTAAATGTGATTCACAGAGACTTAAAGCCAGATAACTTATTGATTGGTCAAGATGGTCACATTAAGGTGTGGGCTTCAGTTTTCCTTTATTTCTTAATATTTTGTAATTTTTGGCAATCCCATAGATTTGTGGAAATATTCGTCGTGAAACAAAGTTGTTAAAGTACATTCATTATGTCCCTGCTGTTAGTTTTTATGGCAAGAGTGTCAAGAACTAGCAGCAGTTAAATTCTTATGTTACGAAGTTGAATCTTAGGCAATAATTTTGTTTATGTCATAGCTTAAAACTATCCTCTACAAAATTTTAAATACGAGGTTGTTCAAATTTTAGGAGGTACTCTTTGTCATTGGAAGGAAAAGCTTTCTCACGTATTCTATTGAGAAGTTATTTGGGGATTTTAGGCAGGTGCGTAATGGAAAAGGTTGGATAGGTTTCTATCAGGTCTTACAAAAATTCTAGAAAATTCCCTAGACTGATCCTTCTGGCACTTTCTTAGGAGCTTTTATGCAGATTGTAAGGATTCTAATAACATGGGCTGGAACCTTGAAGGAAACTGTCCAACTTGGAGAAGATCGAAGTGGCTGATTTATTCTAAATTTTTCTTGGTAGGTCTCTGATCGGCCTTCAATAGGGACTATATATTAAGCAGGTGTAAAATTGGTAGGAATGCTTTGTTAGTTAATTGGGGAGAGTTTTTATATCTTTAATAGGCTGTTTGTGCTTGGTGATTAATTGATGGTCAGTTATTAGTAATATTTATCTCGTTTGCTTCATTTCATCCATTTGTTCTTATCAGTTTCCTCTAGAACCTATATACCTTCCATTTGAATAAGGAAAAACCTCCCAATAGCTCTCTCAGTAAAGCCATTTCAAAGATGAGGCTACAAACGTCATTTCGCTCGGGCATTTGGTCCTTAGGATAGTAATAGATACCTTGCTTAGAAGATTCTACTAGATCTGTCCTGGAGAATTGCAATCCTTCAACTCTGTTTTTCAGTTGCAATCTAGCTTGTGGCTGCTGCAAAAGCTTCTGATGTATTCTTCAATTAATTTTCCGGGAATCTTTTAAGAATAAGGCAGTGGTTGTTTATATGAATGTGGGGTTATATCATGTTTTAATTTAGACTTGCAACATGATATAACTTTTTGGTAGAGTTACTATTGGTGTTGTAGATTATGAAGGAATGAGAAAGATCAGTGTAACGACCCAGATCCACCGCTAGAAGATATTGTCCTCTTTAGGCTTTTCCTTTCGAGCTTCTCCTCAAGGCTTTAAAACGCGTCTGCTAGGGGAAGGTTTCTACACCCTTATAAATGGTGATTTGTTCTCCTCCCCAACCAATGTGGGACATCACAATCAGAAACCTCCTATAGATGAAAAATGAAAATAACTAAAAAAAAGGGATATTACTACTATACGGCTAGTGCAGTAAGAACACGACTGCTATAGGAAGAAACTGTTGGATTCTTTAATAGGAAGTGGAATCCATGTACACTCATTTTTATAATGTTCTTTTAGTTCGTTTCAAACTTCTTGAGAAACGTTGAACTTGTTTTTGCTTGTCATTTCTTAGAAACCTCTTCTTCTTTTTGTTACAGTTAACAGATTTTGGGCTCTCCAAGATTGGTCTTATCAATAGTACAGATGATTTCACAGGTCCATCAATCAATGGAACTGCTTCACTTGGAGACAATGGTCCAACATCTCAATCTTTGTCAAAAAGAGAACACAGACAAAAGCATTCAGTAGTTGGTACTCCAGACTATTTGGCGCCTGAGATACTTCTAGGCATGGGACATGGTTTGTAACCAATAGGCGTAGTATCCTGCGTGCAAGAACTTTTGTGAATTATTCTCAATGATTCCTTATCATATTATTTTTGTCTAATTGTTTCTTGCAGGTGTAACTGCTGATTGGTGGTCTGTTGGCGTAATCCTTTTCGAGATGCTTGTAGGATTACCGCCGTTCAATGCAGAAAGTCCACAGGTTGAATCTGCAACTAGAATTCTTAACATGCAGTGTATAAGGCTGTTCATTTCTTTGAATGCGTAATTTCTCTTCTAAGCTAAATTTAATTAGGAATGAATGCATACAACCTAAACCATGAATATTTATATAATAAAGCAGCTAAATGAAGCCTAACTAACCACCTAACTCCAACGCCTAAATCTTACCATCATGGACCAGCTTGGTTAAACATACCAATGGTCGCATCCAACGGCTTTACAAGCTCATTGTGAAGGTGCTGATCTTAAACAGTCGAGCAATTAACATCTTTTCCCTTATATTCTTGTATAAATCTATTGTTATCGTGTTTGTGCTGACAAAGTTCCTTCTGGACTTCATTATGGATTTTCTTTTTTCCGGAAGAAGGTCTATTTGATATGATGATTGCATGACAGTTCTTAAAAAGAGATTCAATTTTTTCGTATCTAAATAATAAGTAGAAATAACACACAATATTACGCGTATCTGTTTGGTGTGATTGGGATTTAAAATTTAATGCAGGGCTTTGTAGCTCTTGTTTCGTTGGTATTACATTTGTTAACTGCCCAACATTGTGATTGACCAAAGGAGTTATTATTCCATTGCAGCAAATTTTTGATAATATCATTAATAGAGACATACCATGGCCCAAGATACCAGACGAGATGAGTCATGAAGCCCATGATTTGATTGACAAGTAAGATTCATTGAAACCTTTTCTGTAATAACATCATATCAAAATTTACCGTTTTCAGTTTATTTGCTGCCTCAAATGGTTGTTTGATTTTATCTTCTATTTTTTTTTAACCAGAAACCAAACAGTTTCATTAATGTATGAAAAGCTAATAGAGAGTACATGAATTCAAAGTCTACTAAGTGTAGACTAATCAAGATAAAATGAAAAAAGAAAGAGGGAAAGCTACAGATAGACCTTAACAAAAAGCCTCCCAATCATTAAAAATACTATTACGAGAATACTCATAGAAAAATTTAGATAAGGAATACTAATGAGAAGTTTTGATCTTGATGAATTGAAAATGATATAGAAAATTCTTTGGTTTCTTTCCAACTAAAACTGCGAAAGAATTGTTTTATAAGTATTATGTTATCCATGAACGCCAATGCACTATGTTTCAGATTGCTGACTGAAAATTCTGTTCAAAGACTGGGAGCTACTGGAGCCGGAGAGGTAATTGTATAATTCCTTGCAAAAAACAGTAGTTTTGTGTTTTGCTAGGTAATTATGATTTATTAAACGAAACGATATATTGGAACTGTTTTCTTCTGTCAGGTGAAGCAGCATCTTTTCTTTAAAGATATTAACTGGGATACACTTGCAAGGCAGAAGGTATTCATCATTGTTGCACGAAAGAATTGGTTCACCTAATTCTTTACAAATTTATGAACCTTAAAGGATGTTTGTATCTTTTTTTTACAGGCCATGTTTATACCATCAGCAGAGCCACAGGATACAAGTTATTTCATGAGCCGTTATGTATGGAATCCAGAAGATGAGGATTTTAACTGTGGAAGTGACTTTGATGATCATGATTTGACAGATACTTGCAGCAGTAGTTCACTTAGTAACCAACAAGATGAAGATGTAAGCTAGTTTGCCTGTCTTGGACATATGCTTACCCTATATCTGGTACTTATTAATTGGAAGAATCCTCAATAAGAATTGCCACAATGTCAAAAAAGCATATTACTAATGGTAAGGTTTAGGCTATCTATCACCAAGAAGATCTCCCGATCTATGAAAGAAATCCACATCTTTGTTAGGTGGCAACCAAGGATCACGGTTGTCATATTTAACTAATGATACTTACTCATATTGAAACCCCTGGAACAACATTTAAGAATCAAAAGATGCACACCATACATGGTGGTATGAATCTCTTAATCATACTCCTCTCCCCCAGTTTGATTGTTGAAATCAATATAAATCCATTATGTCTTTGAGATTGTTATATCCTCCAGTTTGATTGTTTTGATGTCATTGATACAGGGAGACGAATGTGGCAGTTTGGCTGACTTCGGTTCATCATCAGCCCTTTCTGTGAAGTATTCGTTCAGCAATTTCTCTTTCAAGGTAAGGCGTGCTAGGCCTAGACCTTTTTTTCTTTTTCCATCGAAGATATTTGCATGGTATATTTCATTCAAAGAGGTGAAGAGAATAATTGTGGTTTATAAAGAATCCAACATTCTCACTAATATTGGAAATGGACTTCTTTTTAAGGTACATAAACAGCAGAGAATAATAATTAAATGAATCCAAATGATTTCTCAGAAATTATAAGTTCTATACAAATTTTATTTTCTATTATTATATTGTTATGACATCCATTCTGCTGGGTGTTGGGTTGAAAGTTGTTGAGGATTATTGGGAGTGAGTCCCACCTTGGTTAATTTAGTGGAAGATCATGGATTTATATAAGTGAGGGATACTATCTCCATTGAAAATGAGGCCTTTTGGGGAAGCCTTCATGAGAGCTTATGCTCAAAGTGGACAATATCATACCATTGTAGAGAGTCGTGATTCCTAACAAAAATGAGATCAAAATATGATGCAGAAACTTCATTCTTCTGCAGAATTTATCACAATTGGCTTCCATCAATTATGACTTGGTTGTGAAGAGCAGTCAAAACTCACCAGATGTATCCAAGCCATCCATTCCTTGAAGCTAATTCACACCAAGTTTGGCTGCTTCATCATCCTTTGCTTCGAAACAACTGGTAAGAATGAAAACTTGGCATCACTTTTAAGCTTGTTTTGTTTTATTGCTTAGCGCAGCTCTAGTGAAGTATTTAACCCTCTTGTATTATTACTGTCAGGTAATATGTACATTAAAAGCATAGTAATAGTTCATTCTCAGAATTGTGTAAATATATGTTCTAGTGTAAATTAGGGAGATGTATTTTGATGACTCATGTGGATCTCTGAATATGTTCTGTAAAGTACTGAAATTCAACTCTGTACAGAGTTTTCTGAACCCTTTTAAGACTTTGAAAATGCTGCATTTTCTCAATATGCTGTTTGTTCGAAGGATATTGTTCAATGGACTGTTGATAATCAGTTTCTGGAATTGTGGATAAGTGTATAGGTAATGCATGAGAAGTTCTACAGTTTATCATTCATTGCATATTTTATCACATGCTGGGTGATACCAAGAACAAGAATTCCTCTTTGTCTGCTTTAGCCGGTTACATATTGCTATTAGTTTCACAGTTTTGAAATGTGTTTGCTAGGAAAAAGTTTCCACGCCCTTGTAAGGAATGTTTTGTTCCCTCTCCAATCGATGTGGGATCTCACAATCCACCCCTTTAGGGGCCCAGCGTTCTCGCTAGTACACCGCCCGATGTCTAGCTCTAATATCATTTGTAATAGCCCAAACTCATCGCTAACAGATATTGTTCGCTTTGGCCCATTACGTATCACGGTTAGCTTCAAGGTTTTAAAACGCGTTTACTAGGGAGAGTTTTCCACGCCCTCATAAGGAATGGTTTGTTTCCTTCATCAACCAATATGGGATCTCACATATACCCTACCCTACTGCCCTCCGGTTCATATGTGGAGAAAGAAAACCAATATTTGCTTTATTTGGTATCAAATGCGATGTACGGAAAACATCTTTCAAGAGTAAAATATCATTACATGAACCGTAAATGTATGAATATGATGTACTAAAAATCTGCTACCGTTACTTACGGAATGGGTAACAAAGCAATTGAGGCTATTCTAACATGGAAGGTATTTAACCATTGTTTCTTGTTTTTTATTCTTTCACCTTTTTTTAAGGAAGAAAAAAAAAACATTTTGGCAATCACCTGTCTCTTGTTTTCTGAAATTTTAAATTAAAATGGTAACATTTATATGAAATTAAAATTTTAAAATTAAATATTAAAAAACTTTAAGTAATACTTTTATTTATGTTTTTGGAAAAAGTAGAACAAAAAAACAAAAAATAGGAACGCTTACGTTTCTTAAAAACGGGAAATACCAAACGACTCCTTAAAAACATGTCTATCTTATCTTCACCATAACCGCTAGACATGCCTGCATCCACTCGCTAACGTAAATCCATAAATGGTATGATAGACAAATCGTCCAATCTCACAATTGTGTCGGCTTCTGTAACCTTTTTAAGACCGTTCATACTACTTTCGATTTGAGTTCAATTTTATCCGTATAATTTTAAAATATTCATTTTTATCTTTATACTTTCAACTTTGGTCCATTTTAGTCATTTAATTTTTATTTTATCGAAATATTCTTATGACACTTCATTCACTAACATTTATAAAATATAGTCATCAATTTGCATTAAATTAAATTTAAATTTTGCAAATGAGTATTAAAATGTTTAGGAACAAAAATCATCGTATAATTCAAGGAGGACTATCTCTGCAAACTAGCACTGAGTTCTTTTAGCATTTTTTTTTCTCGTTCTAAGAATTTGTGTTGGTCGGTAAGATTAGTCATTCACTTTTGGATCCCGTTCAAAATAAGTAGCTAATATAGGCATATTGCACAGAATGCAACGAAATGCGGAGACTCTGAATCCGAATTCTGAACATAAGGCATTACACACATACATGCAGTGTATACATTCGGCCTTAAGAATGAAGTCACATGACTAGCATTTTCCCCGATATTCCGCTTTCGGTTGAAATTTGTCTTATACCTTAAAATATGGCTTTATATGGGTGGCATTTAAGTTATTTCTCCAAACTTATGCACAAAACATTCAAAACTTAACCAATTCCTATCAAGATTAATTTTTTTTTTTTTACACTCATTTACTTTTTATATACAAATCATAACACATGCCAAACTAGTAATTACTAAATAACCCTCGTAAGCGAGAGTATTCATTCAACAATTTGTTCAGTTTTTTAGGACTACACTCAATTCTCGACTACCGGTGCAGGTTTTAAAAAAAATTTAGGAAAAAAATACAAATGTTTACTGTCACTGTTCTCTCTGAAAAAAAGGACTCGCAAATCACTCTACAAAGACTCGAACCTCTTCTCGATCTTGGAGACAAGCTAGGTTATGTGTTTTAAAATAGGCCAAAACATTGAGTTAATGTTTCCCAACAACTATCTTTGGTGTGTCCAATCTTCCTACCATGCACACAACAACAATTTACCCTTACAAAGTCAACCAACATCTTCATGTCTTATTACCTATTTTGCCCTTAGGTTGATGTAATTACCAAGGCTATTATTGACTTTTACACATCTTGGCTAAGAGGGTCTTACATTTTTTGGATTTCGAGCCTATGTCCATGATTTGAATAAAAATTCAGTACTTGATGATCCCGACATTCCTCTACACCTCTACGACATGACCGTGTTACCCATTTGTCTTCTATTGCTTCTAAGAGTGAAGACTACTCTCACCGATCAATATGGATATCTGATTAAAAGTGGGACTTAAAATATGAAAGGGTTTAGGGTTTAGAACATTAAGGATTGGGGTAATTTGGTATATTTATCCTCGGTCGTTGCTTCCAATGGGAGCCTAAACCATGTCGTAGTTGTAGCCATGGCTGTTCATCTTCTTGTCGATGGGATATGCGGAGGGGAAATGGTATTACTAACCACAAAATTTGGTACTCAATTTCCATTTCTTTGCGTTGTTTATTTCATTGAAGGATCTTTTGATCGCATTTACATTTCTGAATCTCATATCTTTCTGCGCAAACATTTTCTTAGCAACAATGTTCTTGTAAAGTTTCGCATCTTTCTGTAGAGTTTGATTTCATGTTCAATTCCAAAATAGAAGCTAGAAATTAGAGTAGGATGAGGATGAACTGAATCGCTGGAATGTTTTTCAGTCTTTTTCTCCCATGCCCGCCAACTGTTTGTTAAAATTCCCAGAAGAACCCAACTCACAATCCTTGTCTCCAAGGTCCTTGTAGTAATCCAGCAACTGATTCAAGCTATCCTCTGAGGAATGTGGTCCAAAATCAGTGTAGGATTCACTGCCCCATGTTGAGAAATTGGACCATGAATCATCTTGAAGAGCCTCCATCCAAATTTGGCTTGTTAATGGCTGATCTTTTGCAGGGAAATTAGGTTCTGATAATGGAGATATGGCGGCTGAGGAGGAATCAGTGGAGCTTCCTTGGCTGCTGCTCTCTGTCTGTGGCTTCTGCAAAGGCTGGTGTGTAACAGGATCTATCCCCATCTTGATGAGCTTCTTCTTGATGTGGGTGTTCCAATGATTCTTGATCTCGTTGTCTGTTCTTCCCGGTAATCCCGCCGCAATCTTTGACCATCTGATACAGAAAATTATTCATGATTAAGCAAAAAATGATACTCATGGTGTGAGTTGTTGTTGAGCTACCTGTTGCCAAGGCGAGCATGCAGGTCGATGACTAATTGTTCTTCAGCTTCATCGAGGAGACCGCGCTTCAAGTCGGGTCGGAGGTAGTTGGTCCATCGGAGACGACAGCTCTTGCCGCAGCGACGGAGGCCAGCAAGCTTGGGGACAGCCCTCCAGCAGCAAGGGCCATAGGAGAGAATGAAGGTGAAGAGCTTGTTGTCTTCTTCAGCAGTCCATGGGCCCTTCTTGACACCAAGTTTGTCACAGCAAGGCTGCCTTCCCATCACTACAAATACCAAAGGTACAGCTTTAAGCTCAAATTGTGATCCCAAAAGGCCTCACTTCACCCACCATTTTATACCTCTAACTCGCCTCTGTCTTTCTCATATACCCCTTGTCTTTGTGCATGTGCTATACATGTGGGAAAGAGAGAGAACAAAAACCCCTAAAAAACTCAACCTCCCTCCCTTCCTTCCTTCCTTCTTAGAACAAAAAGTAAGAATTATTTAGTTGAGAAAATGAAGGGTTAATGGTAACTTTATTTTCTCTTTTTTTTTGTTGCTACATGAAAACAACTTTTGAATTACCGAGGGAACTAGACATTTCTTTAAATGGCGTGGAAACTTCTCTCGAGTAGACGCGTTTTGAAATCGCGAGGTTGACGATGATATGTAACAGGCAAAGCGGACACTATCTACTAGCGGTGGGTTTGGGCTGTTACAGGTACGAGTAAACTCTTCTCATTTCCATTATTGCCCCTATTTTTAATCTTGGGAATCCTGTTTTTGGAAATTTCTCATTTTTTTTGTTTTTTAATTTATTCTCAAACCCCAATAATTATAGAGAAATGTCCATTTAATCCATAAGGTTGGGATCCGGGAATACCTATATAAATGGAGAATGAGGAAGGAAATAGGGAGAAGTTTTTTTTTTTTTTTTGATTAAATAGGATCAGGGACGGGGAATATACCTCGACCTCGCCCCAATTCTCTATCATCACCTCGACCAACCATAGTCTCTACATAATTCTCAATATAACTATTTAAAAAAATTCATATAAAATATCCTAATAAAAATAATAATATTTCATAAGAAATATATATATATATATATATATATATAAAATTGTGACGCTCGAACTAACCTAATTTCTATATAAATATAAAAAGAAAATCAATTTTTAATATTTTAATATAGATTTTTGTAAATAACTAATATAATTTTTAAAAATTCAAATTTCAAAATAATTTTCAATAATTTATAACAATAGAAGAGTAAATAAATAAATAAACAATTGGGGCGGATAATTGTCCCTATTTAGTCAACAAGTAGAAAACTCTCCCCCTCCTATACTACTCTGTTTGGAGTGAGTCTTACACGAATGTGATGAATATTTCTAGTTTTGTTCTGCATTTATTCCACTTTATTAATTATTGTGATGAATATATAATTTAAAAGAAAAAAAAAAAAAAAAAAAAAAAA